ATTTCCTTGTATTGAATTCTAATCTTCCATTTCTCTGTGCAATCTCCTGTCATATTCTCATGCCATATTGCAAATTATTCAATGTTTGATGTACCATCAAGATTGGTTACGTAAGCAACTTTTTAAAAAACTGTGACACTCTATTTCAATAGTCAAATGGAGGAGGGGCGTAGTGGTAATCTCATTGTACTAGTTTTCTAGAACCTTAAGCTAATATTCTTGGATCTGGGTCCATTGATCTGTCCATTGCAGATGGCAAAATGTGAATCCAATAAAAATCTGGGGGAAAAAAGCTCACCTAATGTAACAAATATTAATTGCCGTAAAAATCCATCTGGTTCACTTTAGGAAAGGAAATCTGGTGTCATTGTGATTGACTCTTAACAGCCATCAAAACATTTACAGTTGGGCAATAAATTCAAGCAAGTGATACCCACATCCCTCGAATTGATAAAATAAGTCAGCCATATATAGTTTAAAAAAAAGCATTGTCCCTTTGGGGAATACAACTGTCCACCATTCTCCAGTCTAGTAAACAACTACTTACCACAACACACTGCCTCCAGTCCTTATAACATCTTTTATTCATTTAAGCTAACACTTACGACCCCATTCCTCAATTTTGTTCAACAGTCTCTTAAGTATTACTTTGTCAAATGCTTTCTTAAAATCCAGCTGGGCAACATCCATTGCATTACCACTATTCCATTACATCTTGATAGATGATAATGTCACTGGGGTGTGCCAAGACAGGAAGGGGAGGGAGCTGAAAGATTATGGGCCAGAGGGAAAAGATGAGGAGAAATGTGTGAGGTACAGATGGAGTCTTCATGCCAAATAGTAAGTCAACTACACAATAAATACACAAAATGGCTAACGCTACATGCAAATATGACAGACGGTAGAATTTAAATTCAATTAAAATGTGGAATTAGGAGCCTAATGATGACCATGAAACCATTGTTAATTGTCAGAAAAAAACCATCTGGTTCAATAGTGTCCTTCAGGGAAGGAAATTCCTTACCTGGTCTGGCCTACATGTGACTTTAGACCCACAGCAATGTAGTTGACTCTTAACTGCCCTCTGGGCAATCAATACTGGCCAAGCAATGCCCTCGTCCCATGAATGAATAAAAACAAAGACTGACAAAAGCTGCAACAGCTTTTTATGGAAGCTCCTTGGGAAGCCACCTACACTGTCAGAGGACATAACATGAGCTTTAATTGTTTTGGATGTGAGGACTCAGGACTTCCTTCAATAACACCATGTTATCAATTTGACATTCCCCACAGATCATCTGGTCACACGGAGAATGCCACGCTGGAGACCTTGTGGCTTTGCTCAAACCAAACTGCAATGCAGAAGGAGATAGCCATTGAAACTATGTCAGCAAGCCCTGCCAGAAAATGCCCTTCCAGAGATAGAAGGAGTAGGTTGAAAATATAGAGGAGACTGATGAGACACTGGATGTTCAGGCCTCACTGTCATTACGTTTCACTGCCTGAAAGGCAATACCAACTTAGATTAAGGATGCCTTACCTCATCATCACAAAACTGTGACATTTGCTGGAAAGTTTTTGTGTTACTGAATAAATGTCTCATTATTCATTTGATTGTACACTTAATATATTTGAGTAATCCCCTCTCAAAATATCTACAGATTACATGTCCTACTGGTGATTAAAGAAAACACTATGACACAATACACTAGCATCGCGTGGGCTAAGGTTAGGTAGCTCTAAAGGCATCCATCAGGATATCACAACCAAGTCTTGTGTAGTAAGGTTGATAGGAATCCTGAGGAATCTCCTTTTGACCCTTCCATCATCATTAACCTTTCAAATATTTTTAAGAATATGCGTGGACTGAAAAGTTGCCATGAAATGCTAAAACATCCTCAGGGAGAATACTGAACTTGAGAGACGCAATGCAGCTTATACCTTTTCTTGACAAATCACCACATTGAGAGAGAGTGGAGATGTCAGCTGCCCATTGTACATCTCCTGGCCTTGAATAGCAGTGCACTCCTTGAAAAGTTGATAGATAAAATGCACATTTGCCCTGCAGAGATGTGTGGAAGCATCACTGATTCAAGGTGTCTGTACTGAGGTCAGACTTGGCACCTGGGACAATCCCTATACCCTGTTTTCCTTACTATTGTCCACAGTCAAGTGCGACACTTTGAAGAAGTGCTTAACAGCATGGTTCAAGGATCCCTTAAGTCTGAGGCTATCTGCAGTCAAACAGTTTGTTGCTTGTGAGAGGTAACAATGCTTAGCCATTACAATTTTTCAGTCTTGCGATGTTTGAAGAGACAGCTAATCTCTTACATAGATATGACTTGGCCAGATCCGCCAGCAAAAAAAAAGTAGCAGAAATTTTAACAGTCTGAGTAAAGATACATTTACAACAGTGAAAGTTTTATTATAACCAGGTTATATTTTGTTATAAACTATGCCACCTATGTGCCCTCTAATTTTTCTTCTTGCTCTGCAGCTGGATGGACAGAGCCTGCTTTATGATTGGCCCTGCTGGCCTGGGAGAGTTGGGTGCTCATTCCCTGGGACATCCTTGGCTTGAACTGCTGCAGACTTTGGAATCACTGATCATGGTGGTGGTGGTGGTACGTGAGGATCTATGGAGAGGCCAGGCAGCTCAGGAGTGTCCTCAGAAGCAGATTCTGGGTGCCAGTGTGACACCTCCTCCTCCCTGTTTGCATCATCTTCGCTCTGAGACAAAGAGACATCTGGAGTGAGGTCAAGATCCCTCATTCTCCTTTTGCCTTGCCAGTCAATGCAGAGCATTGTGGCTAGAGCAACGGCATGCAGTTCCTGCAAATATCCAGCAGACACCAAGGGCAGACCTGGATCTCTGTGCCAGTTGTCAACCTAGCCATACAGGCAGCCAAACACACACATGCTGAACCTACCACTGTACTGATAGCTTTGGTAGACTCCTCTATTCAATGATCCAGTCTATCCAGCTCTGACCTAGCTGCCAGATATTCCTGTGCTGGTCTTGTACAGTTTAATGAAATTATTATTGGCTGAGAATAGGGGCTTGCCTCATGTCTAAGGCTGAGCAGGTGCCTACTATCTGGCAGTCTGCTGAATAACTTCTGATAAGTCAGTGACACGCTCACCAGGTTGTGTTCAAGGAGTCTCATCGACATGGATTACCCACTGAGGTGGAAGTCTAGAACTGGTGGAGGGTGCAGTTGAAAACACTGCTAGTACATCCTTAGTGGGCTAACTGGTTTGCTCCTCAGAGATGAAGCTGAAGCTGAAGCTGACAGACTCCAGTATCGGCCCCTTTGTGGGTGCCACTATCTCTCTCCTCTTATCTAGGCACTAATAAGCTGTGTAAAAAAGGCTCAAAAACTCATCTAAGATAATAATGAGTTTGCACAGATGGTAACAGGAAAAAACAGCACAGCATAATGAATGGATGGATTCTCATTGTGGTTTCTCCATCAACATATGGACAGTTATGTCATCTCCAGCCAAATCCAGAATTTTCTCATTATAGGGAATGTGGAATTTGAAGTCTGCTACCTCTCCGATTTCTGGATCTAGTTGAGGGCCATTTTCTTTCCTGCAATGAACAAAGGGAGGGATTGGGTATCAAAGGACATGAATGGGAGAGCCGTTTGTGGTGATAGAAGGGCAGGAGCAGAGATGAGGTGTTCCCATTGAGTAGGGGATACACAGAGGGAATAACAGACTAATGGACTGGGGGGTGTGCGCGTATACACCCTGAGATTGGGAGGTATCAGAGAGAAAATTTTGGCTCCTACCCTTATCGAGCAGAAGAGACTGGCCTTTTTCTGTACTTCTAGTCAACCTACTTCATTCAGGACACAGCAGTGACCCACGCTGTAGTGCATGTCCCTGGTTTGGTCCAGTGGCATGGGCTCCTGTGGTGGTCAGCTGGAAAAAAGGACTTCCCTCCTCCCACCACAACATCCACCATCACCTCCACATCACTGTCCATAAAGCAGGGACTAGCTTCCCTTTCATCTGGACCATGCTTTTAATGTTGATGCTCAGATCTCAATGGGCAAGGGGTCATTTTGGCTCACTGTGGGTAAAATGGTCAATAGCTGGGCTTTTCCTATTGCACGAGATGAGTGAATGCTGCAAGATCCTGGCAGTGGTCAGCAAATTCATTTCTCTAGCTTTGCGATTCTGTGGGGAACATGTCCATGAGCTCGGTAGCATAATTAATGAAGTGAAGAGTGGAAGATTGTGTAAGAAAATTCACTCCGACCCATGTTGGACAAGGCACAATGACAAAGTACTTCAAAGGGAAGATTCAGCCCATTAATTGTTTATCTTCGTAGATATTTCCTGATCTGTCAAGCACTCGCAGCAGTCTCTGCTTTTACCTGTAGAATTTTTCCTGCATTTGTAACTGGAAAACTAGGCGACAATTCTCCTTTAAGACGTTACACAGATTTGTAAAGAAACTGGAGAAAAAGGAAATTTAAAACAAACATTTTGATGTCTGCAATTTATTTTTTTAGAAATCACATTTTTTGTGAAACATAATAATCAATAAGGACTGGATCAATCAATCATGTCAGAACTTTTCCAAGACAAGCAACAATGAGCAATAAGTGCTGGCTTAGCCAGTGATGCTAACATCCTTTGAACAAATAAAAATGCCCTTCACAAATCCAATTTTGGGAAGAAATGTTCGAGTAAGGAGTGATCAATAGATGGAATTGTCTGCAAGTTACAGGTAAACAATGCAAACTCATTCACAGGACAATGGTATGATTGAGGTTTTTTTTTTAAAATATATATTTTGAATAAATTATCTACAGAAATGCAAATACATTCCTTTGTCTCCACCTGTCACATGGTCTCATCAACCAATCAATTGCACAAATATATATTAACTGGCATATTAGCACTCACTTGTGGTTAAGACACTTTAAAATGGATTTTTACATCAAGTAGCTACAAAAATAGTTTGCAAAGGCTGATTTGCTCACCAATAATCATAGCTTTCATCCCAGTTGTCAAAATGCACCAAGAAACGATTATCTACCATGTCGGATACCGTTGCCACACAAATAAATTCTGGATTCTTTCTATCGACAGCTTCTAGTTTCATACCAACTCGGAAGCCTAATGGAGTAATAGTCTGAAACAAAAAAAATTCAAAAATATTTATGGTAATTCATAATTTTGTATTTGCATTTATTTAAAAACAATGATAAAATTGGTTACTGTCTGGTACTGACAGCTAGAAATCAATACATGCTTCCAAATAACTTAACTAGATTCTTGTACAAATAGAAAACTCTGCTTGGCTTTGTCTGAGATTTTTCTGCAACTGTTCATTAATATTTAATTTTTGCCCTGGAATGGTTTTGAAATTGCCAAATTGTAATAACAAAATGAAAACATACACGTGTAATCATGTAAATATTCTATTTTGCTTATATTAAATAAAAATTAAAATAAAGTTACTTGCCTTAAAATGTCGTGTGGCAATAGATTCAAATCCGTAAACAGGGTAAGAAATTTACTATCAGTCACATACTCCCAGTGCTTTCACGATTCCTTTTTGAAAATTCTAGTATTCAGGTAATAAATTGTGTTATGTGTGACAAGTGTGGCAGTAAATGGAGTTTGTCATATTTGAGTTACAAGCAAATATTCTGCACCACTGAGAGACGAGCTAAAGGATCAATAAATCAACTTAACTGCCAAATCCAAACGGATGGCATGGCCAGGTTAAACATAGAGGCAGCTACCTACAGAAGGACAGTGAATGGTGAATCAATAATACAATTACTGCACAGAACAATTGTCAGCTACAGTAACGTTTGTTAGTGCATATCTAATGACAGTTCAGGTGATGGACAGGGAAAGTCAGCTGAACTAATAGAAATAAACTGATTAAAAACATAAAGGGGTTAATCTTGCCACACTGCTTCCTGTGCAATCTTGCCACATGTTCACCAGGATTGAAATGGAAGGACCGGAATCTAGGCTCAGACACAGGTATTGGACTTGTGAGAGAATTCCATTTCTCTCCAGAAAGGGGTGAAGTCTCCCAATGCTTTCCCAATGCCTGTGGCATAACAAGAATAAGAGACATATTTCCAAACATTGAAATATCCAATATCCCAAATCTCGACAAATCAAAAAAGTGAACTCTAATTAGCTCCAATACACTGCCCCAACATAAACTGTCTTTTTCACCTCCAATAAGTCAAACAATTACCCCTACAAACAAGCAATGAATAGATGTCATTAAATAAAAACCAAAAGAACTGTGGGTGCTGTAAATCAGGAACAAAAACATAAGTTGCTGGAAAAGCTCAGCAGGTTTGTGAAGAAAAAAATCAGAGTTAACGTTTCGGGTCCGGTGATCCTTCCTCAGAACTGCGTTAAACTCATGTTTTGAGAAAGGATCACCGGACCCTAAACGTTAACGCTGATTTTCTTTTCTTCACAGATGCTGCCACACCTGCTGAGCTTTTCCAGCAACTTCCGAATAGATGTCATTAATGTCCATCACACATTGATGTATCAAGCTGACTAAGACTCACTTCTTATGTACATCAAAATAGCCAATGTCATGTCAAGTGCCGGCACGATGATGCAATAAAACTTTGAAGATTTGAAGGTAGAGATACATGTTAAAAAGCTGGAAATCAAGACAGCTTTCTTCATTGGTGGATTAAGAAAGTGTTTAATTTCAACAGAGGACAGTTCGGCATACTTCTGAATGTGACTCACTGAGTCAGAATCAAGATAGACAAGGCCCTTCAATACCTTTGAAAAGCAAATCAGCGCTGTTACAGAAAAAATAAGGAGGCCCGTAGTTGACTGGAGTCACAAGTGGAAAAAAATCATCCCAGACCACTTGTGACATTATCATAAACCTTATTTGGACCGTGATCCAATACCTCACGCAAGGTCACATGATATAGATCTGCCTTTATTCCCTGCTAAAAAGATACAAGTGTTCAAACCAGGAATTAGGACAAATCCATCAATCTGTATGAACTGGAAGTAAAGCTAGCAGACCACTGCAGTAAGGTCAAAGTATTAACTACAATATCTTGAAAGAGGAAAAAGGTCACTCTCCTCTGTTCCAGCTTGGAGTTCAACTGAGAAATTGACCTTCTGACAGATCAACTACAAAAATCATCATAGCTACGAAGAAATCTCTGCTTTTTCAAGATCTTCCTTCTAGCCAAACCATTGACTCAATCAAGAAACATTAGGCCTGCACTGAAAGCGAGACCAAGGTAAATTACCTTTCTGGAATTACTGTACCTAATTTGGTATGTGCATGATACTGTGGGTGAGTTCAGTGAATGAGACTTCATTGTTTCATTAACCTCCAAGGCAAGTGTGTAAGAAATAAAGAAACACGCTTCATTTTTAAATGCAAAAAAAGAGTTTGTTGCTGGCTTATGAAAAAAATCATTCTTATTGTAATAAAACACACATCCACATAAAAAATTGATCACAGGTAAATAAAAAGGAAAAGGAACACCTAAAATTTGTCCCTGCTAACAGTTTCAAGGTAACTGGTTATTCTACTGTAGATGCGAATGTACTACTTAACTGAACTCATTCCCAAATTTCTTCCCTTTTAGGAACAATTTTTAGTCTTAGAATCAATGCTTTTTAAAACACGTTCACTAACAAATGGAAACTGACCTAGTTCTAACACTGACACTTCTGACACGAGTATGACACCTTTTGCTTATTCTTTCATGGGATACAGGTGGCACTGGCAAGGTCAGCATTCATTGCCCATCCTTGGTTGTCTGAAAATGGAGTAGCTTGCTAAACTATTTTATAACACAGTCAGACACATTTCTGAGACTCTAGATCAGATGAGGTTTGCAGATTTCTTTCACTGAAGGACATCAGTGAACTACCTGGATTATTTTTACAACAAATCAGTGACGTTTTGTGATAACAAAAGTTGAGACTATTTTTATATCCCAGAATTTTTTTATTAAATTTAAAATATACCTGCTGCTATTGTGGGATTTGTCTCACCTGAGCATTAGGCTGAGCCTCTGGATTTCTAGGCCAGTGACACTGCCATTATCCTACCATTTCCCATTGCACACATTTCCAGCATAAAGCTAGTTCAGTTAAAATAACCATCCATAGCCAATAGATCACGTTAATGCAATAAAATCAGTAGCTTCAACAAAAAAGTGATGGTGATTCAATAGTTCATTTTGTTTTTGAAAACCAGGGGCAATCCATTTCAATTTCCATTCGAGGGAGTTTCTGCAAATCTGACTGAAGTACCTTTTCCCTCAGTCCCAGTGTAATCTCCTGCCTGCAATTTTCCACTCTTCACCTCAACTTTCATCAGAGCCCATCCATGGTAAGGTAGTAAGGCCCCGTTATTAAGCATTTACATTTTTTTTTGGACTTTTCACACGCGGAGCTCATGACCTCCAAAAAGAAAAGCAACCCCCTCCTATTAAAGTAGGGGCCTGGCTGCTTCAACACAAACACAATTCACAAACAAAAACCGAAGCCACACTCTTAAAGCGCGGCTGCTGTGGAAATAAATACCCCCATTCTCAAACAAACCATCCTGAATAATGTTATATGCTTACTGTATTTTGGTTTTCAAACAGGGATTTGGGCACAGCTTGAGCCTTGCACAGCTTCAGGTATGATGGCCAGTTAAACTCATCATCTTTATATCCTAAAACAGATAGAATTAATAGTTAACACTTTGCATTTGAAACCAAAAGATGTACTATACCTTTCTGAACTTTGGAATGCTCTAGCACAAGGTGTTAGGGTGTTCCATTATTTAATATATTCAAGGTGAAGGTGGAAAGACTTTTGATCTCTCGTGGAATCAAGGAATTCAGGAAATGGGCAGGAATTGGAGTTGAGGGACGATAACCGTAATTATACTGAATAGTGCAGCATGTTCAAAGGGCCATTTGGTCTAACCCTGCTCCAATGTTATGCTTAAATGCACAAAGAAAAGGCAGTAATTCCAGAGGTAACATCGCTTACAATGAGATTGACCCACACATCCCAAATGGTTTTCTAAAAGGTTTAGCTTCATTCCATCATGGCCTACCATATTAGCAAGTCACATTTTAATATAGTTACAATGTAGAAATAAATATGCAAACATATATTCAGAAAGAGCTGGAGAAGCTCAGCAGGTTTAGCAGTATCTGTGGAGAGAGGAACAGAGTTAACATAGAGTCTGACGTGACTCCTCATCAGAATTGAAGATGGTAGCTTTTATAGTTTTTTTTATTTGTGTTTGGTAGCAGTATCCTGCTGGAGATGGTGGCTGATGATTTTTTGAAAGAAGAGACTCGTGGGGCTGAATGAGAGGACAAGGGGAATTGTTCTAAGAGTAGGGGGAGTGTGAGGGCAGAACCGCAGGGGATGGTTAAGACGTTGTTGGGGGTCGAGCCAGCCGCGGTGGCGGGGTTGGTGGTGGTGGTGGTGGGTGGATGCCTCATTGGTGGCACATTCATTTAATTTACAAGATTCTTCGAAAACGTCACTCTTTGTCTATCTCTCTCTCTTTTAACAATCATGCCCATCAATATCAGACTTCCTTAATCATGAAACCTGATTACACGACCCCTGCAAGAAATTCCAATGGTCTCTTCCTGATCCTGATCAGCAGGCTTCTTGGGCCTCAGACCTTGCTGGCATCTCTTCTTCAGAAATGTGGCTTGCCCAAGACATCTTCAAAACAAAAACTCTGTAGCCTCAATTCTTCCCTGTATTGCTACCCTGCTAAAGACCACATCTTTTCATTTTCTTTTTGTTTTGGAACTGTGGGCCAAAACTGGGAAAATGCTACAGTGAATTAAGGAGACTGTTAAAAATATAAAAGACAGAACAAGACATTCTATCTTCTAGGTGGCCTTGCCAGACTTCCCTGCCACAAATCTCACCATAACCCAGCTTGCTCAGACCTCTGTGAAATCCCACAAAATGTAATTTTTTGGGGATACTGAAGCCAAACAAACCATCTCCACTTGTTTGTGTTTGGAGTGATATGGGCCAGTGACACTGGTATGGTCGGCTTTTCCATTGACTATTTATTATGGGTGCATATGTTTGGATTGGTCCCTGTCCCTGGGATGAGGTTCTGTGTGAGATCAGTGCAGCAGAATCTAATCTCCAAAGAGAAAGCTTCAAGCATCTCTCTCTCTCTCCCCCTCCATTGAGTGAGGTGTACCAACAAAGCCAGCTCCTGCTCAATGTTCTCACCCACGTTTTCCTGTAACTGCTCTCTTTGCATGGCCCTGCTAAAGGAAGGAAAAAGAAAGCCTTCAAGGATACTGAAAGGATCAATTCTAAAGCAGTGACTGCAAGATCAAACAGTGGTGCAAACCAAATGGTGTCAGTGATGAACTGAATGGGGATCAAAGGTTATGGGAAGACATTAAAACAACTCAGCAAATTCTGTGTTCCAGACTTGCTCTACCAAACTGTATTATCTCTGTGTGGCTTTTCCCCTGTGGATTTTTCACTGTTAAAATCCAAAGCTTTACTTGCATTTGTGTGTATGTGTGGGTAGTTGAGAAGAGGTGGAGTCATAGTTTTATACCAGTAATTCATATGTCTCTGTTACAATCAGTTAAACACAAGTTGTTCATAATAAACTGGAGACAGTAAGGACTGCAGATGCTGGAAGCTAGAGTCAATAAATTTGGAGCTGGAAAAGCACAGCAGGTCAGAGAGCATTCAAAGAGCAGAGAAGTCAATGTTTCGGGCTGAAACCCTTCGTCAGGACTGCGGGTTTCAGTCAGAAACATTGACGTCCCTGCTCCTTGGATGCTCTCTGACCTGCTGTGCTTTTCCAGCTCCAAATTTATCGACTCTTGTGCATAATAATTTTTTTTTTTCTGGTTAAATACACAAACCTGGTGGGATAGATGCTTTCAATTAAAATTAGAGAGATAGAATTGGACATTTTGGTGGCAAGCAAACATTTTCACTTTTGGAACAACTCTGGGAATAATGGTCATAGCTCATAACAAATGATTATCCAACACATCCTTCTGTAAATCAAAATTGTTGTAATCTAGCATTTCAGAATTTTCATTTTTGTTTTCATGATGAGTTTGTGTTGATCAATCTTTTCCATTTTATTAAATGCATCGTTAATGACTCCAATCCTTGGTACTTCTTGGTCGCACTGTAGTTTTCTGTAATCATAGAATTATCAAATCCCTTCAGTGTGGAAAGAGGCCATTTGGTCCATCGAGTCTGCACTGATCCTCTGAAGAGCATCCCACTCAAACCCAGCCCCAATTCTATCCTTTTAGCCCTGCATTTACCATGGCTAATGCTGATCTATTAAGCTTTTCTATAGTCAGGAACAAAACCCAAACAAGTATTTCAAAAACAAATCAAATTAAAGTTTGAGAAGATTTGTACCTCAGGTATTGGATGAGGTTGTAGACTTGCTCACCGAGCCAGTGTGTTTGGTTGCAAACATTTCGTCACCCTGCTAGGTAACATCATCAGTGCGCCTCTGGTGAAGTGTCGGTGTTCTGTCCTGCTTGTTATTTATACGCCTCAGTTTGCTGGGGTGGTTGATATTACTTCCGGTCCTGTTTCTCAGTGGTTTGTACACAGGGTCTAATTCAATGTGTTTGTTGATAGAGTTCCGGTTGGAATACCAGGCCTCCAGGAATTCCCTGGTGTCTCTCTGTTTGGCTTGTGCTATTATCGATGTGTTGTCCCAGTCGTATTCGTGTCCCTCATTGTCGGTGTGTAGTGAGACAAGTGAGAATTGGTCGTGTCTCTTGGTGGCTAGTTGGTGTTCGTGTATCCGTATTGTCAATTTTCTTCCGGTTTGGCCAATGAAGTGTTTCTCACAGACCTTGCGTGGTATTTTGTATATTATACCAGTTTTGCTGGTTTTGGGTATGGGATCCGTTACATCCATCAGTAGCTGTTGTCGGGTGGTTTGTGGGTTACTCTGATACCTAGGGGTATGCGTAGTCATGTGGTTATCTCTGAAATGTCCTTGATGTACGGTAGGGTGATAAGCGATTCTGATCGTGTTGTGTCTTCCTGTTATGGTCTGTCTCAGAGGTAACGGCGGATTGCGCTTTTCGGGTATCCATTCCATTTGAAGACTCTGTATACGTGTTCCTGTTCAGCTTTGCATAGTCCCAGGTAGCTGCAATGTGTTGTGGCTCATTTAAATAATGTCCTGATGCAGCTCCGTTTGTGGATGTTGGGGTGTTTGCTAGTGTAATTGAGTATCTGATCTGTATGTGTGGTCTTTCTGTATACGCTAGTCTGGAGTTCCCCGTTGTTTTTGCGTTCTACCGTTATGTCCAGGAAGGGTAGTCAGTTGTTGTTCTCTTCTTCTTTCGTGAATTTTATCCAGGTAAGGGTGTTGTTTGTGTGTTGGTGGTTTTCTTCCAATTCAGTGAGTTTAATAATCACAAAGATATCATCTACATATCAGACCCACAGTTTGCGTTGTATAGTGGGGAGTGCTGTCCATTCTAACCTTTGCATTACTGCTTCTGTAATCAGTCCTGATACTGGGAATCCCATTGTTGTTTCGTTGATTTGTTTGTATATGTTATCATTGAAGGTGAAGTAGGATGTGAGGCACAGATCTAGTAGTTTCAAAGTGGTGTCCTTATTGATGTTGGTGTCCTCGGTTGCCCACCTACTTGATTCATCTAGCAGTGTGGCAATTGTTTCTTTGGCTGGGTCAATGTTTATGGATGTAAATTGTGCTGTTACGTCGAAAGAAATAATCACCTCATCCTCATCTATCCCGGTGTCCTTGATGATGTTGAAGAATTGTTGGGATGAGTAAATGGAGTGGGTAGTGTTGTCCACTAAGTATTTTAATTTCTGTTGTAGTTCCTTGGCAAATCTACATGTTGATGTACCTGACAGTGAGACAATGGGTCTGAAAGGGACCTCCTGTTTGTGTACCTTTGGAGAGTCTGTAGAATCAGGGTGTGTTGGATCCCTCTGGCTTCATTTTTTGGTAGTCTGTCTTGCTGATGTCTGAGTCGTGTAATTTCTTCACGGTCATTGCGGACAGGACACAGATGCTTCACCGGAGGCACACTGACAATGTTACCTAGGAGGGTGACAAAACATTTGCAACCAAACCCACTGGGTTGGCAAGTATGTCTACAACCTCAAGGAATCAAATTTATGGCATTTAAAAACTAATCAAACTGCTTATGTTTGGTCCAGTAAAAAAGATTAACAATATTACAAAAAAAAGTGTAGCCATTTGTGACAAACTTGTGTAAGCATTCCACCAATCCAGTCAGATTAAAAATAAAGTACGTTTTAATACAGTTTTAACGCTGTGATAGGGATGAAACAGATGGTATTTCCTTGACTTTGTATGTTCATATATGCTACATGGCTCAAGATTAAACACAGCTCTGGAGAAGAAAAGCAAACATTCATGACCAATGATTTATTGCTCTTCACTGTCATTCCATATTACCTATTTAAATGTGTTTCACTGCACATCTACTTGTTGGGTATGAAACAGTCAGGCTAAACTTCTATCGGAAAGAGAAGCGAATGCTAGTATTTGTTTAGGGTGACCTCTGCAGCCTAATTTAACGTAGTCAATGATACCTTTCCCCATGTCTGACATCAATTTTAGTGATCCCTTTTCAAAAGAAAGGCTTGTGAATAATCAATGCCAACTTTTCTGAAAATAGCTTTGGAACTTACCTTTGGGAGGGTGAAGCTTATGTCCAGTTTTCTCACACCATCCCACTGGGTGGATATCCGACGAGTCAGCATTTACCCAGAAGTCATAGCAATCAGAGTATTTGTCAAAGTGGAGCCTTATTCTGTAGCCACAAACCTGTAAGGTGAGCTTATTGTAAATCTCATATTCAGCATCTCAGAAATTTATCAAGTTTGCTTTCCTTATAAATTGAAATTACATCAAATTGTAAAACAGTGCAATCATAGTGACAGGATAGGAGGGGAAAGGATTTTGGAATGCAACTCTGATACATAAAGTTTCCAACTATTTGTCCTAAATTGCAAAGCACCGTGAAGTCAGGTACTTTGACAGACTATAATCCCAGTCCTGCACTAATGTCAGCAAAGAAATTGTAACTGATAGAATTAGACCACCCAACAAAAATTTCAATAGTTTCACCTCCTGTCCCAAAGCAAAATACAACTATGATAAAAGTATACTTTACTATTCAGTACTGAATACAACAGTGCACATAACATGAACTTGCTACTTTCTAAATAGAATTCAGTGAGATAGTGGAATGGCAATGGAAGAGCGTTTTTTTTAAAACAATATATGCCCAGTTATTGCAAAAATAGCCTGCCTACAACCCATCTCTCCATCCAATCCCTTCAATCCATAACCAAAACTGCTCCAAACTTTAAAGCTTTTGATGCATCTGAAAATACCACTAATGGTGTATACATGCACCCACATTATGCTAATATTCCCAAGCTCAGGTTTTTAAAGTATGGCAAGCAGTGAAACAATCAAATGGGTTAGAATCTCTGCCCCCATCCGAGCTCCGAAGCCATTGCATTTCCAGATATTTCAATGCCTTCTCTTTTATTTACAGTAGGATCTTACCTGGAAATTTGTGTACAAATTTTTAAAAACTATATTGCATGTCCTCTGATTCTGCCATCTGCAGATGCTCAGCATGTCAATGCTTCCTTTTTTCATGCACACGTTCTGTCAAGGTTATACCAATACCTCTCAGACCTCCATATCCTTTGGGAACTGATGGAGTTCTGTGCTTCTAGAACCAAAACCCCTCCATGCTGCAGTCAAGCTTAGCCCAGTTGAATCTCAGACTCAGACCTGGGACTGTTGCTTCATTTCTGTTACATGCTACAAGCTCAGTCTTGGGCTCCAATTTACCGGCTACAAATCAGCTTTAGGCTTCCGGCTCCAAACTCAGCAGCTATCTCAGTCAGCCGGACAGTTCAAAATCAGGTTCAGGCTGGTAGAATTAAAGATGTTCTGATTTCAATCCCAAATTGTTCAGCTTTAATTGTAAAATTATGCTCTTTTGCTTTCTTGATTCCCAAGAGAACTTTTTTCTTATATCTAATAAAATGCTTTTATATGGGAGACTTTAAATATTTCATTCAGATCACTGTTCAATTTCCCATACTTAAAGAAATACCTGATAAATTTTTGCAGTCCACCCTTACAAGTTAACCTTTAAAAACTCTGGTTATGTATCAAAAATAATCTATTCCCATTCCCTTTGGCAAGGAGGTGAAGTACCATAGATTTAGTTTAAATAATTGAAACTTTTGTTTTTAGGAATACATGTATTGGCAACAATCAAATTTGTTTTTATTAAAAAAAAAGCAACTGATTTCTGCATTAGTTGGGCTTTTGCTGTTGAGTCAAAAACGTTTTTGGTTTTAATTTAAACAAAGGTATTTAATTAAATAAATGTTAGGTATAGAAGAAGGTCAGATCAGTCCCTCTGATCTGGCCTGTCATTTGATTAGATCATGGATAATTTACACCTTGAGTTACCCACCATGGTTGCGTAAAGCTTAAGACGACTGACCAGAAACCTATCAATCTCAGTTTTGAAATTTTCAATGAACCTAGTTGCAAAGGAATCCCTGTAAGTGTAGAAAGAGGCCATTTAGCCCATCAAGTCTCCACCAGCCTTCTGAACATCATCCCACCCAGACCCACCCCCACCCCACTCCCAATTCTAACCCCATTACCCCGCATTTACCAGGGTCAATCCACCTAACCTGCACAGCTTTGGAGAATGGGAGGAAGCCTGAAAACCTGGCAGAAACCCATGCAGACACATTAATTAATTACTATTTGCAAACAAACAGACTCCTCAACTGGGATGGACTTCCATCTGCATTATCTAAACAAGCAATATTCAGCAACAATGGAGATCAGAAACTGCAGTCAATGGACATTAGATGCTATGTTACACTTGAAAAAAAGACCCAAAAGTTGGAATATGGCAGACATATACACCACTGCAACATAACCCTCTACAGGTTTTTAATCTCCAAAACTAACAACTTTTGAAAATAAGATTCCAGAAACGTTAAGAGCTCTAGAAAATATGTTGATGCCCTCAAGCTAGTTTTAGGATTTATATTTTCTATTTCTATGGTAGACAAATTTATAAAGGGATTATTGCCTGTAGCTGTATCAAATAGCAAAACGGGTTGAAATAGAGAAATTTATTGAAGATTTGTTTCCAAGCTGTAATATCCACAAATCACTAACATGCCTATCATTAATGTTTAAAAATAACAAATCTGCAGATAGCAAACATGTGACAGGACCAAACTGCAATGGAAATGCAGCACCACAGATGTGTTGAAAGTGGATCTTCTGGTTAATTCCAGTTATCTCCTCTGCTACGTCTGTAAATACGCTTACATATTTCTAGCTACTCTATCAATAGATACTGTTTAAAGACAAACCTCAGCCACACTAAGAACGCAATACATGGACGGATGTTCGGGGTCAATCCCTTCCAGCTTCATTCCAACTTTAAATCCATTTTTGCTCTGTGGAAATGACTGGCACTAGAATAAAATGAAATGCATGATTACGTCAAAATTATTCTTTACCTCCGTGTTTTATTTTATGCTGGATGATGTAAGCAGAGGAGAGTCTGTTAGCAGCGATCAGGTATTGTACAAGTCAAAAATTGTAAAACCTTGCATTGCACTTCACAGGAGCACAATCTAATTAAATGTAGCACCAATCAAATATTAGAACAGATGTCCATAACCTTGATCATGAAGTTCCCTAGGGACCTAGGATACCCTTGTTCACGTCACTGAAAGCAGTTGCAGCAAACAATTCAAAAGAATGTCAGCAGTTACTAAAATCGGCTTAGGCACAGGAGCAAAATAAGTCTTGTTTCAGTTGTATAGATCACACCTGGAGAATTGTATGCTGGGCCCCTTGTCCAACGACGGATATATTTGTCATGGGAGAGTGCAGCAGAAGTTCACCAGACTGATTCCTGGGAAGGTTGGATTGTTGTGGGAGAAGAGGTTGTACAAAATTCTTAAAAGGGATAGTGAGAATAATTGCAGAAAAGATGTAAAACCAGGAGACACAGGCTTAGATTAAAAGACAAGCCAGGTAGGACTGAGTTTCTTCATTCCGAGGTTGGTGAATCTTGAAAATGTTGTAGCCTAGAGGGGTTTGGAGGCCCATAGCTCAATCCTACCCATTTTTGACAAAGTGCTAGCTGCAGCGAGATTTTTGGCAGATTTTTCACTGTAAGGCCCAGTGCAGTCTCCTGGTATATCTCAACAAATCCACCTCAGTAACTACCTATTCCGACCTAATGGCATCCCTCTGATTCCAGCCCCTTCTTACTGTGTACCATTCCAGAAAAAACGCACTACTCGCTGAATATCCCAGAATTAACCAGCATCCCCAGTGCTGACACCATCTTTAAAAGCCATTGTGCATCTGGTTAAGCACTGTCAGTCTGCTGCTGCCTTGCATGCTTCCTGACTTTTGCCCCCGATATGGGGAAATTGGTGCTAAGTTTTGCAGAGAAGGATGTGGAGGCCCTGCTGGACAGAGTGGTGCGCAGGTAGGACCTTCCCTTACTCCAGGACCAGGAGTGGAGGCCAGGACGCTAGATCATGGGAGCCTGGTCTGAGGTTGCCACCCAGGTCAGCTCAGTCTCAGCAGTCTGGAAGAACGCGCACTGCTGTAAGAAAGACACTGACCTTCTTCACTACACAATTGTAAGTGCCACCGTCTCTTCTATAATACCTGTCGTGCACAGGTTATCTCCCACTAAGGCTCATGTTCTTGCCATTCTCACGTTCTTGCCATTCTCACATACATCTGCAATATCATCTGCCACTTGCTATCACCCATCACAAACCCCGAATTCACCACACGCCCTCGTGATGCCCACTCACTTGGGCCACCTGCACCAAAACTAACAACTGTACTAACCACTGTCATCTCCCACAATACCTACCTCGGTCTCAAACCAGGAGGAAAACAAACGATAAATAGGGCAGAAAAGTCAAGACAGGTACTGGGCTGTCTAACATTCAGCTCCACACGTGGAGGCATCTGTTCCAAAGCAGCTTACTGACCGTATCCAAGCCCCTGCATGGGCATCAGAAGCTGCCTTCGACCTACTACGCTGGGAGAGGCCCCTGCCCTATCCAGTCAGTGAAGAGTCCAGAGTTACAGCCATATTCAGATCGTGAGCTAGGAGGATCTCCCTTAGCGTAAAGTATCCCTGAAGAAATATTACAATGCTAGCTGCCAGTGCAGTCCATGGAGCAACATTAATGTAGAGAAACATACTTTTAAGTGGATCAGAGATACGTCGTTAAGGTTGTTACAGGCTGATTCTTAGAAGACATCAATATTCATGGACACAGGGTGCGTGTGGCCAGTACCCATTTAGCATGTCCTGAAATATTAGTGTCTGATGTCCATCATGGACCTTTTTTAGAGCAAGCAGTGAGCTGAAGTCACCATGTATGTACTTTAACTCCATACTGAGAATCCTTGACATCTCACTTGTTCGGCGTGTTGGGCAAGATACATAGCTGAATATTAATGAAGCAAGCTGTGGCATTAATAAAGCATTTAGAAGCTTGCCACTGCCTTGCAAGAATCTCTCATTTCTTGGTAAATGCATAAAAGATGCAGCTAGTTGCTCATGACGTCGAGTTAGGCCTTGTACGATCTTGCCACAAACTCTACTAGCCCAACTAATGGAGGCCTCAGTCATTAAGTTAAGTTCAAGACAAAGACTGATAGTTCTCTAGTCATGAGTAACGTTAAGGAATATGGGGATAGCTTGAGAATTTGCTGGTTAGGTATAAGATCAGCGACAATCTAGAATTGCAGAGCAGACTTGAGGGGCTGAATGCAGTACTTCTGCTCCTATGTTCCTATTGGTTCCAAAACCATGAACATTTTTGAGCATTTTTTATTGCGAGAGCAGGAACCTTTACATTTTTGCATACCAATACAGAGAGTGTGTAATGAAATTGGCCTGGAGGTTGGGAGCTACTCATGCCTGTATATTGTTATGTATCCATAAATAGTTTATTTTAATGGATGCACTCGTACATGAAGCCCACAAAATCGTAGGGCACGTATTCAGGATGGAGAATGTGCAGACATAGGTGTACAATTTTACAAATAACATGCACACACATTCTCAGAGATGTCACTGATTCAACAGTTAGATACCTAGAAACTAACCTCTTTAAAAAGTTTAGTCGGTGCCACAACAGCTTTTTCCTCTTCCAAATATGAGGCCCAACACCAAGCTTTTCTCTTTCCACCAAAGGTTAAAGCTGCAGGAAATGACAAAGAACACAAGTTTAGCACACTTGACATTTTTAACAAGCTTCACAAATTCTTCACAATAGAAATTGAACTACATGACAACTACTTTTAAATAGTTAATAAAGAAGCATACACTATTGTCTGCCATAAGAGTCACATCATCGTCTACTGACAGATATCACACAGTTCTAGGTTCAACCTAGTCCAGTGTTTCCTTTATCACTCCTCCCGTTTACCCATGCACTCTCCATACAAGGGACTACTTAGCACACAGTGTTCCATATAGTACCTCAGACAAAAACCAGCAAATGTGGGTCATAAAATGGGTAAATTTTAATTTACTAGACAGGGTATAACTTCTGCTTTTATACTTCACCTCATTTTATTACATAAGATAGGGTGCAAAACCTGTACCCGACCCAATCCTGTGGTTCTCCAATCTAGTGAATACTATCTGAATACCAGATCTGAACTCAGGTTACTTGACTGACAGTCTAATGATTCCTTCACAAGGGTTTAATGGCCCAAAAAAGTTTCATATTTCTAAAACTGCTCTATTGCCAGATATTATTAAATCTCTGGCACTGACTTTTCAGTTTTTGTGTGGCAGAGGTAAGACTCATTTCAATTTTAAACTTCCTTCTCAAAAAAGCCACATATCCACATTGAGAGCTAGTACAATTAAGGTTATAAACTGCTTGTACACAACACTACAAATTTGTTACCAATTTAGATTTACTAACTTAAAAACAGCAAGGAATTTTTTTTTTTTAAATTACTACTCTTCCTTTTTGCTACTTTCCTTCAGTTACTGTTAATTTTAAAAAAGGCTCACTGGGCTCGAGACATTAACTATTTTCTCTTCACAGATGCTGCCCAATCTACTGAGTTTCTCCAGCAATCTCTGTTTTTGTTTTATACAGTCTTTGTTCAACTTACAGCTTCACTTACAAACCAAATTCATTTTGATTACAAAGTATAAACCTCAAGAAACAGCAGTGGTAATAAGTTAAATTACCAATTTCTTCTTGTGCGTTATTTTGTTTTATAACAACTTACTTTGCTTCAGTAATCCAGAATCGCCTTTTCTTTTTCTCCGTGCTCGGACATGGTTGTTCTGAGTTATTTTCAGCACCTTCAGCTCCCCTTGTTTTTCTTCCTAAATTACATCAATAATATTCTGTTCAACCAGTCTCAAAATTATACTTTCCAAGCCAAAGGATGTAGTAAGGTTCAAGCAATCTTAAATGACATGCCCACTGGTAAACAGAGTATCATCCTACTTAACCCACAATCTGAACCATACTCAGGAACCAGGGGCAAAAAAAAACTCAAATCAAGAGAAAGTTTTATTTTCCAACTCATTCTTGGATAAAGAGTTCATCTTATGAAGAAATTTTGCACAGGTTGGGCCTGCATTCATTGGAGTTTAGAAGAATGATAGGTCATCTTATTGAAACAAAATTATGAAGGGGGTTGACAGCGATAAGAACTGGGAGGACACTTCTTCATGTGGAGAGACTAAACTGGAGGACGGTTTAAATAGTCTCTTCTTTAACACAAGTGAAATTTGTTTGCTCACTGAGGGTCGTTAGTGTAGATTCTCTTCCCTAGGAAACATTGAAGGCTGGGTCATTGAAATTGTTCAAGGCTGAGTCAGACAGCTTCGCAACAAACAAGAGACAGTCCAGGTTAATCAGTAATGGGGCAAACAAAGGAGTTGAGACCACAACCAGATACAGCAGTCCTATTGAAAGGCGGAGCAAACTCGTAGGCCTGAATGGCCTTCTTTTGCTCTGGAGTCCCAAGTTGCTAACCTTTGACCACATTCTTTTTAGTCAAGCTCAGTCAGAGGCATCAAAGCATTCCTCCCACAAACACCATATAATCAAAATACTGAATGGCCCCAGTTCTTAGGCTGTCATTCAGTACCACAGTAGAATTCACCTTCAGCAGTCAAAAACCTTTTCCCCTTCCATCTGTAATAAATTTTCTCCAAACAATCTTTGACAAGCAATTCTTCAATTACTCCTATTCCCATGTTTTAGAAGAGTAGCAGGAATCAAGAATACCAATGGAAACAAGCAAAGAGTCCATCACCACATTCAACTTTCTCATCTGTTCATTCATATTTATCTTTATTTCCCACGTTGAAGTTTTCCTTGAAATTGAAAGTGTACAGCAGCAGAGTACTTTGAACATGTTTCAGGTAGCATCTTGATGTAAATCTGAGCTACAAATGGATGCAGCATACTCTACTTAAAGCAGCCTACTAGTGTCTTTAAAGACACCGTAGCAGGCAAAGCAGAAATTCGATGCGGCAAGTATCTTCCAGTCAGTCGCCATCCCATCCGTGCTCACTCACCCCAACAATTATTATTTGTGCCCTTTCACTACAGATTAAAGTGTGAATTGGTTGCAGAGCAGATCTGTAAGAATTTCATCCATCCTAAACAGTGAAGTGCCTTTGAGTACTGTCTCAGTCTTTGCAACTTATAGGCATCAAACAAATATTTGGTCACAAATAGGCTCGCAAACAGCTCCAGACTCTCATCAAGGATTCCACCAAGCCACATAATTGCCGAATCTGCCCATTCACTCAGTCTGCTTGTACTCCAAATCACACAATGGCTTCATAGCATACACACATATACTTTTTCTAAAATTGTCTATCAATAAGTAAGACATACACGTTCAACTTTGTTAATAACCCTTAATTTTTCTTTGTCAATGGAATATCTTTCAATTCAGTTCCTGCAAGTCACCGATGATACAAATAGAAATTCAAAAAGCTGCTTAAGATAAAATGCTTTTCAGCTGCATTTTTAAAGAACAGCATGAATTAGATTTCAATATTAGGGATTTTCTTTTAAAGAATATGTAGGCCTACCTATAATGTTTTCTCAACTTTAAACTGGACCTGGCTGCAATTCTGCCAAATCCATTTATAAGATTACGTATTCATTATAACTGTTAATCAAAGGGCAAAGAAGTTTGCAAGACTATCAATGTAATTTCTCTTTTGATTTTTGAAATGGATGATGCTCAAAAGCCTTTTCCTCATCCCTCTGCAACAAATTTTCTCCAAACAATTTTTAACAAGCATTTCTTCAATTACTCTAATTCACCAATTCTCCATCACCACATTCAACTTTTTCATACGTTCATTCATATTTATCTTTATTTCCCATGTTGAAGTTTTCTTGGAAATTGAATGTGTGCAGCAACAGAGCTCTTTGAGCATGTTTCACATAACATAATGCACACTTATGGAAGTGGACACATTTCAAATCGCCTCATACAGTTCCATATCATTTGATAATAAAGCTGTGTTCAGTTTTGTTAACAAACATCTCTAATACGTTACTCTCTTTAGGAAGCTGCGGCAGTAACAAGTTAATACAAGAAAGGGTGCTCAAAGTTGACTGATAAAGAGGTAAAGTCAACTTTAATGATTGAAGGCCAGCATCAATTTGCAATTATAAATGCAATCTTTGATACACAGTACCAGGAAGTTCAGCAGCAATGCCAAGATTTTAAAAAGTCATGATAAATAATTACTTTGAAATCCTAACTGCACAGTTCCAAAGGCATAGTGTAAACATGACCAAGTTTTTTTTGGGAAGGGGTGTGATTGGGGGTGGGGATTAAGAGGATTGCTGTTTTATTTATGATACACATCCTGACACAGTGATTTGAATTTGATCTTGTCAATACCTAACTAAATATTTAACCAGTAGTTATGATCGGGTTTTACAATTAAAATACAATGCTACGTTCAAAGTTGAAATCAATGCATTTATTTATTTCATCAGTTATGTGTTGTATGCATGTTACTATTGTCATTTGCTATGTTATTCATCTTTATGGAATAAGTGACTGTGTTCCAGGGTTTCAATGACACCCTGTTGAGGTTCACGCTTTAGAGCTGCTTCGTTTGTATATTGTGAAGGCCCCAACGTTCAAGTCAATCATGTCCAGTAATGCAATTGATAGCACATGTCCTGCTTGTTTTCTGACTCTTCTACTACCTCTTAAATAGAAACTCCTGATGGCCAGTATGTGCTGTCAGCTTGATAATCAACTACAGTGGTCATTTAACTGATTCTGGGCACAGCTTCAATATGGCTACTGAAGTGTATGAAAGCAAAAGTTTGGCTAACTGTTCAGTAATTGAATCCTGTTTCTGGGATACATGGTGTGTTCACCCAGCACCTTGAAGGCTGCCAAGACAGAATTGCCTATCAGCATGATCCTGACCCCTGACAGCTGTAACAAGGTTATTTATTGACTTGATCAAATAAAGTGAAAATTAAGAAAATGTTCAGCTACTAGCTATTACTCGTTGCTTTCTCGCACAGAATCATAATCCAATCAGCCTTACTTTCCCCTCTATTTCTTGCAACACCAGAACAAGTGTGACGATTGTAACTGGTAGAACAAAATCAGGGATAGAGTTAAAGATTATTGTTAGTTTAATGAGGTTAAACCGAAAGGAGACAAGGCTAATAAGCAGTAAGCAGCTTAGCCAAATAGGGTCAATTCTCTAATGAAACAGGGCACCTTTTAATGCAAGTGTAGGAAATGCTATATCTGCCCTTTACCTCCTCTTTCCTTACTGTCAAAGCCACAAATTCTCCACCCAGGTAAAATGTAATGTTGTTGTACTTCTTTCAACTTACTATATTAAATTCACTGCTCGTTGGGTGTCTGTTTTGTGAACCACCTCAGTCCACAAGCTTTGATTACCTATTGTCATTTTCATTCCACATCTCATGCTGACATCTTTGCCCTCGGCCTATGCACTATTCCAGTGAAACTCAACAGAATCTCAAGAAACAAAGTTTCATCGGTCGATTAACCATTTTATAGCCATCTGGAATTGCTGAGTTCAACAATTTCAAAGCGCAACCACTGCCCCATTTTGTAACGTTTTCTTTGCAAGTTTTACTCTAAAATTTCTTGTTTCTCCTTTCATTTCTCGCTTCCTTGTTTTTTAATTATTTATTGGGCTGTGGGTGTTGCTGGTAGACAAGCATTTATTGTCCATCCCTATTCACCCAGAGGATAGTTAAGAGTCAACTACATTGCTATGGATCTTGAGTCACATGTAGGCCAGACCAGGAAAGAACAGCAGACTTCCTTCCCTGAAGGACCTTAGTCAACCAGATGGATTTTTATAACAATCGACAATGGTTATAGGGTCACCATTTGACCGGCTTTTTATCCCAAATTTTTACTGAATTGTTAATACATTTATTCATTCTAGCTGGGCCAGCACTTATTACCCATCCCTAGTTGCCCTTGACAAGGTGTTTTTGAGCTGTCTTCTTGAACTGCTGCTGCCTATAAAGAGCCACAATGCATGATTTTGATTCAGCAACACTGAAGGAACAGTATATTTTCAAGCCAGGATTCAGTGGCTTGGAGGGGAACATACAGGTGATAGCATTCCTGTGTATCTACTGTCCTTGTCATTCTGGATGGCACAGGTTATGGAAAGTGCTGTCTAGGGAGCCTTGGTGAATTTTTGCATAGCATCTTGCTGATGGTACACACTGCTGTTGCTTTTAGTAGAGTGAATGGATCATAAAATTCACAGAAATTCAGAATCACAGAATTATTATGGTGCAGGAGGAGGCCATTTGGTCCATTGTGCCTGCACTAGCTTTATTAGCCAGTGCTAATCTTCTGCCATTTCCCCATCTCCCTGCACACTATTACTATCCAATCAACCATGCAGTACCCTCTTGAATGCCTCAACTGATCCTGGTTCCACTACATTTCTGGGCAGTATATTTCATACCCTAACTACTAACTGTTTTGCTCTATTAATAAGTTTTGCTCTTCACATCACCATTTCTTCTTCTGCACATCACTTTAAATCTATGCCATCTCGTTCTTGTTCCTGTTACAAATGAAAACTGCTTCACCCTATCTACTCTGTTCAGCTGCTCAAGATTTTGAAAAAAAAAAATCAATTCAATCTCTTCACAGCATGTTTGTAGATGTGTTGCCAATCAAAGAGGCTGCTTTGACCTGGATAGTGTCAGGCTAGTTGAATATCAGTGGAGCTGCACAGTGGGGAGTATTCCAGCATAGTCCTGACTTATTCCTGGTTGATGTTGGACAAGCTTTGGGAGTCAGGTGGTGAATTAT